TTATATTAAGACCCTTCTAGTGCACATATTAATGACATTTTTGATATTATGTATGGTTTGGCTGTGCAGCTTTTAAGATGAGTTTCTTTCTGCCATTTTAGTGCCAAATAATTCTACCCTACAAAAATCTTCAGATGATTCAATTGTTTTCTGCAGTTTGAAGTTTCTGATGACTTCCTATCACATTTTCATATGTTCTGCAGTTAATTTCAGCTTTATTCATTCAGCAAAAGCATTCCCACTTGCTGTTTCTCCGAAACAGCTTTTTCTAGTTAACTGGTTTAAGATGCATTAAACAGCATAGCTTCCAAATATTTACAGTTGCAATCATAATACATTTGAGCAGCTCTGTTAACAGTTTATTTTATTAGTGTGTTGGCTTCACTGAATGGAAAAATTATTGGATTTTTTTAGATTATACTCAAGTCTAGAGAAGTTTTTTCTCCAATGCAAAGAAACTCAAAGACTGAGTTGCTTCTCAGTCCTGTCGACTCTCACTGCGCTCGGTGGCTGTAACCCAGTAAGCTGCTGGTTGGAGGAAAACTTTTCTAAACAGCAGCCAGCAAAACAAAAAAAACTGCTGTTTTTTACAGCAAAACGGCCAAAACTAAAGCTAACAGGATGACCGATCTTAACATGTAAAATACAGAATTAAAAAAGCTTGGTGACCTTTGTAACCGTCATGGATTATTTAGCTTGCTGTGAACCTGACTCTGTTTTCTTTTCCCGCCAACAGACTGGCCTCCCGCTCTCCTCCCAATGCCTCTCAGGCTCCGGCTTTCTTCAGCAAGCTGACAGAGAGCACGTCGGCCATCGTCAAGTCCAAGAAGCAGGAGATGATCAAGAAGAGGACGGGAGATGGAAACGAGCCAGAATTCAGTGAGCCTCGCCTCAAGCGTACGAAGGACTAAATCATTAAGACCAGACCGAGCTGACCTCTGGTTTCTCTTTTGATGATTTTAGATGCAGGTCAGCCAGGAACGGAGATCTTCAACATGCCAGCATCCACCACTGCAGGTAAGCTGTTCAGTAAGAAGACTGCACTGAATATGTGAGGAAGATTTTTCAAACGCTGCAGACTCTGTTCTGAATTAACAAACCGGATATTTTTTTTTCTTTCACCTTAAAGGACCTGTGAGCGTGCGCAGCCACCCGGCTCCAGAGGCATCCGGTAACTCCATAGGTCTGGAGGCCATAATCAGAAAGGCCTTAATGGGGAAGTACGACGAGTCGTCTGAGGAGCGCTCCTCGTCCAGCGCTGCTAACCCAGCAGGTTCCGCCGACGGACGAGAAGACTCATTCTCACAAGGTGACAATCCTCCACCGCCTTAATCTGCTTATGTTCACTGCTTCATAGAATCTCTTTAGTAATTTGTTCTCCTAAATCAGAACTTCACCCAATCCTCACTGTCCTTAAATTTGCGAATTCATTCCTTAAAATTGGAATTCTATTTCAAAAACATATACGACTTTTTCCAGTAATTCGGTTAAAGAAGTTTACAATTTAAGATTCGTTTTAGACAAAGGGATTATTTTAGCTTTATTACAGGGTTTCCACACGTCATTAAAAAACATTAAATTATTCATTTTTAAATTAAGGCCTGAATTGGTATTAAAATTAGTTAAATGTGATCATTATGGCATTTACAAAAAAAATTTATATAAAAAGAGTTTCATCAGATATATTATATCGCGATATATTTGTGCGTAGCTGTTTCCGGTTGATCGTAAAGCCATGTGTTCGGAAAAGAAGCTCGAATCGGAGAAAACGCTAGAGAATGTGGAAAATGCAAATTTCAACAAAAGTGGTTAGAAAACGAGAAATTTAGGACATGGCTGCAGCCTGTTGTCGGTAAAGATGACGAAGGATTTTCCCTTATATATACGAGAGTCATGGTTACTTGTTGATGACATTAAAATTATTTCTAAGAACATTAAAAAGTATTAAATTAGAGTTATTCATTCCTGTATAAACCCTGTATTATTATTTATTGTTATATCTTGCAGCTTTAAAGATGAGACAAACGCTAAAGTTGACAAATTATTTTGTTGAGAAATTGAGTGGAAGGAAGACAATGGCGTAACGACACAATAGGCCCGTAAGCATCATTATCTGGCCCCATATGAAGTAGAACACCTGATAAAGGTTCGGGATACGGCAACAGTTACATAAATCGGCCTAGAAGATTATGCAATTCTCAGTAGTATATACATCACAAACAGGAAAAATAGTGACTGCGCAACTTGAATGGAACCATTGATGACAGCGCACCACCACATGTTAGCACAACAGGCCATGGGGCTATTTTGAGTTTCACCCACGCTCTCTCCATTCATCTCTTAGTCGCAATCTTTACTCACTGTAACAGCAACGTCCACCTCTCCATCTTCGGTTCTTCTGGGAATTTTTTTTCCCGTTCTTCCAGCAGCTCTTTTTTCCTTTTTCTTTTCTGGAATCCGCTTAACAATCTCTTTTTGGTACTAACACATTGTACTTAACGGTTAAGGTTTTAATCTACGCTCTGGATTACCCATAATTCCAAGTCGTAGTGTGAAAATAAAATACTCAAATACATCGTTCTTTTAAGATCTTTATTGCAGTTTGAAACATATTATATGAGTGTATTTTTTTACAAACCGTCTAATGAACTATACACAGTTAATAACAATAATGATGCCACTCAGCTGAGTGCATCCGAAACTGAGCTTGTTTTTTATTATTTTGTGGTGTTTCGTTTTTATTGTTCAATAAGAATTAAACCAGGATTAATCCAGCATATATGAGCCTATTGTGTGGGAGGAGAGGAAGGAGGACTTTGATTGGTCAATTCTACATCCGCTCTACACTATGCCTATTTCCTGTTTGGTGTACCTAATGGCAGAAACTCTGTCCCGGCGCACCTCTATCCCAGACGGATGAGGGGGTTGTAGACGGCGAACAAGATCGTCAAACTGACACACGGACACCCACGTTACTAGCTAGTTCGTGATTGTCCCTCTTGCATTGTGGCGTGGAATGAGGTAGCACAGACCACGCTTCAAAAGCATAAATCAAAAATATCTGCATCATACCTGTGAAGATCGCTGCGGGAGTATAACCAACCCTTTAGGCTGCACTGAAGGGACCAGGTTTATTAGCAGGAAGACGTTTTTCTTTTTACAGCCTCCAGGGAAAAGCAGATACGGAATCTGAGTTTATCTGGTTTTCATGTAATTGAAATCATAATCATCAAACTAGAAATTAATATTTTAACATTAAACTAGATTTTTATTTTATTTTTTTAGATAACAGATAAAATTATGTAAGTTTCCACAAATCAGCTGTTTTTCTTATGCCTTAAATATTTTTCCACACATAGAGATTTCAAATGTTTTGACTCCAGCTTGTCGGGGTTTTTTATTTCTTTTTTCATCAGCTTCTCTGCTCCTGTGTTTCAGGCGGCTCAAAGTCCTCTAAGAGCGGCGGCCGCTCTAACGGACGCAAGTCCAAGTCCCCAGGACCGGGTCTGTCCGGCAGCGAGAGGCCTTCGTCGGTGTCGTCAGTTCACTCCGAGGGAGACTGCAACCGACGGACCCCTCTTACCAACCGGATGTGGGAGGACCGGCCCCTATCTGCAGGTGGAGACCCCCCCCCCCCCCGACACAGACTGATCACTAATGAATGCGCAGATAAAACATAATGGCTTTGAAGTTCTGTTTAATTCAGAAAGCGCCACGTTAGCAGTTGCTAGCTCACATAATGACGGCATCACATAAACATCTGGCATCATGATTACTCTCTAATTCATGGCTGCTGATTAGTTCAAATGTCTCAGAAATATTCCAGCTCTCAGCATCATGGGTAGATGCCGTTAGCTTTCTTTGATGGCCACATTTTGTGGTCATCACTGCAGTTTTAATGGTCATTTTCTGTGTAAATGTTTTTCTAAACATCAAGTCTTTAGGTTAGTAACTGTTTAAGCAGGTTTTTTTCACCTTTATTAATTCTCCTTTTAAACATGTTCAGGCATATGAGAGTGAGAGAGAGCAGCACTTTAAGCTGATAACATGAAGGCTGAATGGAGCGCAGCAGTGTAGCTCGTTTTTTTTTTTTGCATCTTTCTCCATATACCAGGATGGACGCAGTGAGGGTCTATAGTCTGTAGGGAATACAAAGAAGACTCCAGTTTTAGTATCTATAGTTGTTTAAAAATGTAAACTTTGTCCTGATCCTACAGCTAATGCTTGACAACCTACAAGATTCATTTACATTTCATCATCAGTCTTTTTAATAATCCACCCCTTCTCCTTCTCCTGCAGGTTCGACCTATCCCTGCAGCCCGCTGATCATGCGTTTCCCCAGCGGGACAGTCTCAGCCCATTCCCCTTCCTCCGGCCAGCAGGGCGGCCCGGGTCCCGGACAGGGCCGCTCTTGGGAGGAGGAGCCTAAGCCTCTGCTTTCATCTCAGTATGAAACCCTGTCTGACAGCGAGTGACCAGAAAGACTGCGGCAAAGAACCTGCAGCTCCACATATGGAGAGGACACCCGAACGAATCCGCAGCTCTGCCTCCCCCCCTCCCTCTGTCAGCCATAAATAAAGCCCCCCTGCTCCCTTCGTGGATGATGAGGATTGTAAAAAGGGGAACTGTGTGGCTCTGTCTCTACCCACCTACATGTTATGCATTCACTCCAGGACTACGCTGAAGGACAAATCACTCGTTTTCGGTAGTTTTTTTTTTTACTTTACTACTATTCCTCACTGGCCTTATCAGTACGGGCGCATCGAGCCGTGCGTTTGGCTTGTTCGCTGTTATCTGCTCACACCTCACGTTCATGTTCAGCAGTGAACTCCGTGTGCCGGTGGGCCGCTTACCACTACAAGAACACAGAAGAAGAATCAGCATCTCTGGTTTTTCTTGGTTTTTGTTCTTTGATTTGTCTCTCTGGAACTCTCAGTCCAGTCCTGTGTTTTTTGTTTTGTTCTGTTGTTTTTTTTTTTTTTTTTTTGTGAGCTGCAACTTTTAGTACATTTTGGTGGTGAAACTTTTGATGGTGTCATTTTTTTGTCTGTTATCTGCAAAGATGTAAGAGGATGGGGTGGAGAGGCAGGGGTGGGATCATATCAGAGGTTTACAGGGTAACGGAGCGGTTTGGTGCTGGTGGAGAATCTGATGGAGCCTGAGAGGATCTGCCAGACGGCACTGAGGAAGAGACACTTTCTTTTTTAATATTAACCATGTCTGTGTTTGTTGGAACAGTTCTTTGCATATAAAGCACTTAGTTGTCGAGCTGATCATGGTGGCATTTCTGGGAATAGGCAGAAGTGCCGCTTCCTGTTAACGCTGTCCCACTTGCAGCGACAATCACGTCGCCGTGGAAACCCTAAGCTGCTGGTTGCAGATCCACCTTTAAAGCTGCAGGTTTGGATCCCTCTTGCATTAAGGAGGTGATTTAAAGAAAAAAAAAAAGCCATCTTTCTATGACGCCACCACCCCCCCCCTCCCTCGGCTCTGATCTGAACTGCTGGAGTCCCATCCAGGAGCTTTTACTGCCCCATGGAGGTGCCTGGATTCATCTCCTCATCTCGGCAGATTTTGTACAGTTAAGAGATATTCTTAGTGTTAAGTGCCATTCATTTTCAAAAATTATAGAGCTGAAGTTAATTGACGCACAATTTTTTATTTTATTTTTTCTTTACTTTAACCCCCGACTGCTTTTTAAGGGTTCATACTGTCTACATGGAGAATTAAAAATCAAACATCCTGCTTTCTTTTGAATATTTTTCCCCCATTTCTCCAAATCTGTCACTGCCTTAGCTTTTAATTGTTTTTACTTATTCTGCACTGCTTCCATGGACCTCCACTAGAGTTTTTTTATACTTTAAAACATGCAGCATAAACTACTTTAAGTGTACTTCATTGCACCTCCTTTGTCTGTACGGGTCAGAGGTAGCCGAGAGGACGGCGTTCTGCTTAATGTGACTCACATTTTCATGCAGTATTTCTGTGCAACCTCATGCGAAGCGTCCGGGAAGACTTCCCCTGCGTCTTCGCCTCGTCTCATCACAGCGCAGACCCGACTGTTATAGGACTACCTCCTCTCCTGTCCTCGCTGTCGGCGGCGAAGCATCCAGCACGACTCGCCTGCTTTAGCTTCTCCCAGTCAGACCAGCAGAGGAAGAAACAGGAAGGCCCCTCTGCGTGAATCGGTGCCACCGCCGACACGTTGAAACGGGCGAAGGCGCACCCAGCTGTTCTCTGAAAAAGATTTCTAAGTTTTTTCTAAAAGTAATATGAAAATACTTTTTAACATGCATTCATTCATATTGTTTATTCTTTTGTTGCACATTTATTTTCTCAAAAATAGAATTAATCATTAAAACCTAAAAGGACGCGTCAAACACTGATGCGTTCCCCTGAACTGTCCAATCACGGGAGGGGAAGATAATTGACAAACATTACATTGTCCAGCCGTTTTGTGCATATTTCTTTTTTTTTTATTATAACCCACTGTATAATATCAAGGATTGTATATACAATTGAAGAGATGTAAATATTTATGTTGCTTGCTTCAAGGGTGGTATTATGAAAAGAAATATACACATGGTTAAATTCTACATGCCCACCAGCAAGCTTTGTGGATAGCAGTGTAAAAACGAAAAACACACAAAAAAAGACACTGCCTTAATGTTTAAATAAAAAGCTTATTGCCATTCATGGTGTCACTCGCTTCCCTTGGTTCTGGTTTGCTTCATTTTCCCTCCAAACGTCATGGCACTGATGCTCCAGCAGGGGCCGCTGCAAATTAGTTGGATCCAAATTTCAAGGCAAGTTTAAAAATGAGTTTTGTTTTTTCTGTAGTATTAATTAGTGAAAAAAGGGATTTTTTTTCAGCAGTGCTACGGAAGAGGATTAGGGCCACTAAAAAAAATAAGTTAACTGATTTTTAAATTTTATTTTAATTTAGTATGGGAAAAAAGTCAGAATTCTGACTTTAATCTCAGAATTCTGACTTTTTTCTCAGAATTCTGACTTTTCCCCATACTAAATTGAAATAAAATTTTAAAATCAGTTAACTTTTTTTTTTTCCCAGTGGCCCTAATCCTCTTCCGTAGCAGTGCAGTTTCAAGTTTATATAAATATAATTTAATTGGTTTGTTCAAAGGTCAAAGATTCCAGAGTTCAAGCCAGTAGAAGATGCAAAATTTAATTTAGATTAATATACTTTGAGAAAATATTCCGGACAAACTTTTGTGCACTAAATCTTCAGTGCTTAAAATGTTTTTGCACAGTACAGAAATAGTCAGGATTGGATTTTAATGGCAGCTCTGGTAAAAGGATAAACATGAAGTCCTGCTGCTCCTTTAAAGAACCCCAGAATGCTGCAAAAAGCATTAGTCTGTTTTGATGGTGCATACTAGCACTGCCTGACTCTTAACGACCTTTTAAGCCTGGATTAAATGAAAAGTCCGGTCATATTCAGAATTCAAACTACTCAAAGTACTTTAAATATAAAATTATTACATACTGTTCAATAAATGAGTGTTTTTAAGAGTAATTTTCATTTGAATGTGCTTTACTGGAGGCATCCATGTTTGTCAGAACACTACTGCCACCTACTGGTTTGTGACGTCACGGTGCGGTATCGGCTGTTGATCAAGTCCCAGTGCTGTATCTGGTGTTTGTCACAACGCGCTATTATCCAAGTCATCTTGAAAACATTCTTCTTCCAAATGTTGGCTACACATTACGTGTTTTTTCTCTGGCCAGAAGTTCGATGGTAAATCCTCCCTCTTCAAGTTGGCGATCCAACTTGGAACCCGTCCGTGGAGGATCAGGAATCACAGGAATCACTTTACTCGATGTATTCCAGCATCCAGCTGCCATGCACGTGGGCATTGTCAGTTTCACTGTAACTCTGGTGAATTTCAATGGTGAAGTCCTCTGGAAATCTTCAATAATTGTTGATTGCAGATGTGTCTAGTAGTTCCCATTGATTTTGCTTGTAAAGCCGGGAGAATGGCGCTAGGCTTATGTCTGGATTAGCATTGAATTCCAAGGTTTATAGAATAGCCCAACAAAGCTTTGTTTTGGCTTAGAAGCCATGCAAATTGAACCGGAAGAGCAGGTCCATCCCTTAGAAATGGGGAGTCGTTGAGGTTTTTCTTTGCCTGCAATACCTTGATACTGGTCTATACCTCTGAAAAGGGGAGTCGTTAGGGTGATTGTTGGTCTGGTTGACCAGGCGAGATGTTTTAACCCCCTGCATAGACATTAATTTAAAGTCGTAAGGAAGCTGTACCAACTGTTGCATTTCCGAATTCTCCTGAGTGGTGCCCAACTTTACACGAGTGAATAAAGTAAATGTGATTGGTCGTTTATCAGGGGGCGAGATTGTTGTGGCGGAAGGTTCATAAGCAAGTTTGGTGGTGGCTGGTTTAACAGAAGCATCTTGCTAACCAGTCAGCAACTTATTGCTAGTAGGTTCCTAATGGGAAATTCCATTGGGACCAAATAGCACTAAATTGGTGACTTAGAAACGACACTGTCAAGGAACGCTATGGACAGCGGAAACATGCAAGAGGAGGAGAGTTTAGTGTCAGAGGTCGTGGATGAGTCTCCTCCGTCATCCATTTTTTATTTAGAGGAGGAAGCCGTACATGTTTGAGCCCTTTCCTCGCAACGCTGGCAGTTCTGTTAGCTCTACGCCTGCTGAAGACACAGACGTCCATCCCCGTGAACGGAAATTATTCTTATTTCAACCGTTGCGTATATTAGCTGCGACATCTGAATCAAGATGCTATGACAGAAAAAAAAATTGATTGACAGATGACCGTTGATATATGATTGGCCGAATTTAGGTGTTCAGGCTGACATATAACTAACTGGCCTGCATAAGATAACGAAAAAAACAGATTTTAAGACAAGGGCTCTGTTTGAATTCATGGGAGTTCCGTTTAATATAATCCAAGTCTGTGAATAGTTCCGTCTGAAATGAATGAAAATAGTTGTTTTAATGGTTATAGAGTCAGATATGTGGCGGTAATGTTTGGTTTATCTAAAGGTTTTTATCTGTTACTGTGTAAATGGGTTTAATTTAAGGACAGATACTAATATATCTGGTATCTAATATATCGGTGGGGACTATAAATCTGATAGGATTTTTTTTTTTATTGTTGTTTTGCACAATTTGCTAAACTAAGTATTTTTTGTTGTTGAATATTGGAAATTCTGCAGATATATTTTTTATACATGCATTGTTTAGATTTACTTATACCTTTCTACCCCTTTTGTAGAATAGAATAGAATGTCTCTTTAATGTCCCACAATGGGCACATTTACAGCAGTAGAAAGATTGTTGAAAATGGTCACACAAATGTGGACCTTAGAAAAATGTATACGAATAACATAATAGTGTAGAGTTAAAATATAAACAATAAAATATTGTAAAGTGTTTTAACAATATAAAACTGTGCATCTGGAGAATAAATAACCAATATACAGCTATGGACATTTTTAAAGTATCGGATATTTGAAAGATGCAGCCCATGGAATGCGGACACAGCCAAGATCTTTTTTTAAAATAGAAATTTTCTAAATTTTGGGACAATATCGTCTCATAATGAGTACATTTATATACATGTTTAAGCCAGAATTTAAATATGACTTCCATAATTAATTAACATAAGTTACTAGATAAAAGATTAAATATAAAATGAATTAAAAACCAAAAAAGCATCCATTTTATACATCCATTTTTCTTTCAAAGTCAAATAAAATTGATTAAACAGCTTCATGAAATATGAACGCCATTTTCTTGTTTGTTTTTTTTAACCTTGCTGAACATCAAACCAACCCAGGCCTTATTGAATAAATATGTTCTGTGCTATTCATCAACTCTCCACCAGGGGGCGCCTCCTTCCTATTCAGCACTGAATGAAAACATGATCTGCTGAGGAGAAAATCTTTTAGGCACTGATCCAAACTTGCACCAAAGCCTCCCTGCAGAAGCTGCTGTTAATTTAGTCAGATTTTCATGCCTTTGCAGAACTGGTACCATTAGTGGAAGATTTGGAGGTCCCAAAATAGTCGAAAGTTTATGATAAATATTTTTTACAGCTTAAACACGTTAAATTGTAGATTTTTCTCTGGACAGATATATGGGAACTCCAATGTTTGTTTTTCTTAAAATTCAAAATAAAGAAACAAAAACTGAAAAAGAGTTTGGTAATTGATTTATATTTTATTCATTTAGGTTATACGTCTTTTTTTTTTTTTTTAATAATACCTCTCATCAGAACTGGAACAATAATTGATGTACAAAAATATAAAGAGAATTATGAAGTGCCTCAATGCCACATATACAACAGGACAATATTTTACAGTATCAAATGTTATGTCAAGACGAAAAAAAGGAGAAAGTATCACACATAAAACCACCAAGGTATTAAATTTAAGATCTGTCATCCTCCCTCTATCTGAACCCTAACGTCTCACAGACTGTCAACACATAACTAAATCCATTGTCCTCTCAGGAGCTTCTGGCTCTAGAAAAATAAAACCTCGAGAACCGGTTCCCCGCCTTCCCTCTTCTTCTTCTGCTCTTTCCATCTGCACTTACTTCTCTCCCCTCAGTATCTCCTGTCTTACAGTACGGCTGCACTGCCTCAGTTTCACGTCCTCCTGTTAGTCCACCTCCACACTGAGCCGGAGGCTGCTTCAAACTAGGCATGGGCCACTATCAGATTTGAAGTAAAAACAAGTAAAAAAAAAAGCCATTTTGTTGCCATACTAACAGCCATTTAAATACAGAATATTTATTGTTTCTTATCAACAGAAACTTTAAATAAAAGTATAGTATCCTCCTTTCATCAAGCTGTGTTGCATTTTATAGCAATGGCCAAAAAAGGCAGACAATTTCTAGTACCATCAGCGGTTACCATGGTATCTAATTAAAAGGACCTTAAACATCCTGATTGGTTTAAGTCTTTAACGATAAAAAACAAATATCCTAAACAGGCCCATGCCTACTTCAAACAATAATGAAGAAAAGCTTCAAATCTCAGATGAAAGGAGGGATTGGTATTCGTACCGAGATACTTTGGAAAATTTGAGGTAAAGTCTGGAAAGTTCTAATCGGCAACATGAATATTTCTAATAGACATAAGAGAAAAAGTGAAAAGAAGAAGGAAAAACATTTCTTCACAAGGGAACTCTCTGGTTCCAAGGCTGCTTTGGACACAAAGAGGAGGAAAATGATCCATTTGCTGAACATAAAATAATGTTTACTGTTAGATTTAAATAAACGGGTTCATTTTGCTTTCAGAAATCCGGAGCAGCAGACTGATGTCAAAACGACCTGACAAGCTGGAAAGCTTTTTTTTTTTGGTGGTAATAAACCTTTTATCAAACAGGAATTAAGGGAGAAGTTTAGATTTTTTTTTTTTCTTATGTAAGATTCGACTAAAAATTTATAAGCACTTTTCATATTTCCAGTAAATTCTCCTATTTTTAGCATAATTTGAGATGAGTTTGTGAGAGCTTTCACTGACAGCTAGGCTTTCTGTTTGCATTGGGAGGATATTAAAGGCTCGCTGGAGGCGGTCCGCCCACAGTAATCTTCCTGTATGAAACACATGCTCTGCATGGAACATGTTCTGGACAGGAAAATTGGACGATACAAAAGCGGAGAAAAAAAAATCGTAAACTACCGTTTTGTTTGTTTTACTTTTATATCAAATGAACACTTTGATCAAAGATGAGGGACATTTTCCATTTAAAGCTATTTGACACAGGAAGCAAATGTGTGTGGGGGTGCACTGCCCTCAGCCTTCATTTCTTGTGAATAAAATTGCTGATTTATCTGTAAATAAGCAGCCAAATAACGTTTGCATTAACCTTTGTGAGCCAATTGATGCTGAAGTTGTATAAAAATGGTAGAAATTGGCTAATAATTAGTGTTGCACCGATGCCATTTTTTTGCACCGATACCTGGCTGTGCAGTATCGACCGATACCGATACCATCTGTTTGAAATTGGTGTGTTTGTTTATATATGAAGAACTGCATACTACTTGGATGTCAAATAATTGCCATCATGGCTTTGTCAAGCTGCTGCCTACCTTTGTGAAGCAGGAAAAAAGACTAAAACAAAGAGAATCCAGTAGAACTTTTTATTGCCTACCTGGAATGGGTGACAATAGTTGAATAAACTTTTGGCTCATAAAATGGTATCGGTCCCCTTTTTGTTGGTACTCGCTGATAGCAATACCACCATTTTAGTGCTGGATCTGGGCCTGCCTGATACTGGTATCGGTGCAATAATAGAACTTTATTTGTCTCACATTGGAGAAATTTACCTCTGCATTTAACCCATCCCCTTGCGGAGCAGTGGGCTGTCATTGTGCGGCGCCCGGGGAGCAGTGTGGGGTCTTCCTCAGGGACCCAGAGTGGCAGCACTTTGGGAGTGGGGCTCTATGCCCTAACCACTAGGCCGCCAACCCCCACAGCTTTGGTCTTGGCTGTTAGCATTAGCCTCTGGGGCTACAGCTAAAAGAAGGCCGCCTGTAGTCTTGTAAGGCTCAACTACTTCATATTTTGGACACAATAATGCAGCTTAGAAATGTATTCTGACTGTTATCTTTTTAAAAGGCCTCTCCCTCCATTTTGCTCTAAGTAGAGGAAATATATTGTGACGGCAACAAAATCTCCAAGAATATCAGTTGCTGAATTTTACTAAACAAATTCAGCCTTATTTCTCTGTTCCAAACAATGACTCTGATTCATCTCCCTGCCCTTCAGCTACACTTTTAGACTGAAAAACAGGATCTTGTTTAAATCTAAATTGGTGATATCCTGTGTCCCGTCAGATCAGCATACCCCGTCAGACCATTATACCTTTAGTCAGTACTAGGGTAACCAGACGTCTTCCTTTTCCAGGACATTTCCTATTTTTCATACCTTAAAAATGTCTGGGGTGAATTTCAAAATAGTCTGGGATTTTAATGGATATATCCAGGGCTGGTCCGGGAACTCTGGCGGATAGGGACAGGTTCGGTCGCTCCGTCCCCAACTGGTGCCTGGTCCGGTTCGGTCCAGTCAGCGGCCCAGCAGTCCCCCCTCCCCCCCCCCAAAAAAGTGTCCTCCTTTACAAAAACCCAAATCTGGTCACTGGTAGTCAATATGCATGCGCAACGCATCATTTTTGCCTTTATCCCTTTAGTTTTGTACAACAAATACACTTTAAACCCTAACGGGCATGTATCATTAGATTGTCCCAAATGCCATATGCTTCAAAAAACACCAAAAACTAAGTAATTAAATGTTTTTTTTTGTACATGGCTAAAGCGATACACGCCCGTTGAGGTAGTTTAAAATGTATTTTTCGTACAAAACTGAAGGGATAAACGGGTTTCGGCTATGGATCTGACCGGGTATGCTCATCTGACAGAACACCGGCTTTCTAATGAACGCTTTGTGCTCTCTGCTGACCAGCTTTCAGTCTGAGTGTACGGAGTTACTCAAAGAAAACAAACTATTTTTGGTCCACTTTTCAGAGGCAGCACAGAAATTCCCCACCGCTACGCCAGCTCCTCTGAGGGAACTGTGACATGTAGAAAACAAGTGCAATAAAGCCATATTCTGAACCCTTTGCGTTGGTGTGACTGGGTAAGATCCACAGCACGTGTCGATTTAATTCTTCCCCCTATATACAGACACCAGGGTCCAGTACCATCCGAACGCAGAGCACGGGCTCCCAGGTTGCTAGCTCTTGTATCAAATAAGACATTAACCACCGTAGTGCAGCTGCAGAGCACAGAGGGTCCGATTCGGGACTGCAACAGTAAGAAATCAAAATAATCTGACTGGTTCCCAGAGTTTAAAGAGCGGGGTCTTAAAGCTCCAGGCAATGGCTGCAGGTACTTCCCTTTCAGTGTGGATCTTTTCAAATTCCTTATCGTCAGAAAAAGACAAAAGAAAAAGTTCAAAAAGAGTCTCTCGAAGCAGAACCCCTCTCCCGGGGCCCTACAGGTCCTCTGTGTAGATGACGCAGGGGCTCGTATCCTCGCTGGACTCCAGCTGCACCGTTGACACGAACCAGCGGCGGCAGCCTGTGGGGTTGTAGTTGAGGGTGGTTCGGTAAGTGTTCTTGGCGTGTTTGGGGTAGATGATGGTGGTGCTTTGGTAGCTGACGGGCTTCTGCCTGGGCTCCAGATAAACCTGCGACTTGTAGCTTCTCCAAGTGCAGTTCCGCACGGCCACCACCGTTTCGCTGAAGGAGGTGGGCGTAGGAACCGGGGCGCACAAAACCCGGTCTCTGTAATGCTTGTCGGAGTCATACTTGACCGCAGATGTGCACCTAGGGTGGAAGAGGGGAAGTGTTTAGGAACAGGTCAGAGATTACACAGGAAGGCTGACTATAGGACGACTTACTTGATTTCCTGCTCCGGTTTGGGGTTGACTTCGATGCTTTCCCCGTAAAACACCGGGTGCATGCGAGACTTTAGGTCTGTTCCTGTATAGTTCGGCAGCAGGTAGGGCAGCTGTAAAAAAGGGGGGGGAAACACAGATTAACCACCTCTTAACAACATGTATGACCTGTAGAACAACTTTTCTGTTTTCCTCGTCCAAACAACTCTTGGATGCTGAAATGTTGCCTTATTGAGGGGTTTCAACAGACTAAACGATCCAGATTAACAGCTCTGCAGTCCCCACACCCTCCCCCTGCAAACACTCACTGGTGAGAGATGTTTTCATGACAACCATAATGCCAACGCTTAGACAAAAGCTACACGCTGCTATTTATTTTTAAAAAACTATTAAACTATTTTTGAAAAAAAAAAAACTTTTTAATTCTGATTTTTTTTAAAAGCCCTAGAATGCAGTAGTGTTGACATTAATGACAATAAAGAGATCAATAAAGAGAGAGAGAATTTTCCTCAGGTTAACACATTACTGCACTGCCCGTCCCCCACCTGTTGCTGAAAGGAAGGCAACAGTCCTCAAAACCCCTCCTTTTACATTGAAGACATTTTAAAACTACAGTCAGCAGACTGTTCTAATAATCATCCAGGGTTTTACAGCTTGAGGGATTATTTACTGCATGTTCAGGGTTGGATTTCATTCATATCAGTAGAACTGGAATATTATTTTGTCCCACGGTAGAGATGTGTAAGTAGGAAAAACAGACAAATGGAAGAATAAAGGTTCACGCTTTAGAGAAAAATGGCTGAATATTAAAGGAATAAAAAGATATTTTATAAAAATGAGTGGAAAATTAGAACAGACAATATAGAAAAAGAAAAACCCATTATGAACAATTTTTGCAGTTAGCATTGAGTTAAACATTGATGTTACCACTGGACCAATGCAGGAAAAAAATGTCGAAAAAATTCCTGCAAATAAAAACTAGATTGGCAAAATTAGATAAAATGATGTGTACATTCTGTACAACTAGACCTAAGTTTGTTATTATGTCGAAATAAAATAAATGTGTACTATAAAAAATGCATAACCTGTTTTCCTCTCAGTCTAAAAAAATAAAAATAAAGATTTCCTTTTTTTTTTAGGTCAGTTTTGATTTCAAAAGTAATTTGTTTTTGCTCATGGTCAGAAAGATAAAAGCACAGTTTGATAATGAACCTCTTTCATTTTCTTTAGTATAATAAATATTTAGAAATACTTTGTTTTTTGTTTTTTTCTTGACCCCCTGCTTGATGGGACTACATATAAAGTATCTGTATGATAGTTCAATTAAATTCAGAAATATCTTATCAAACAAAAAGGGAAATGAAATGCTGGGGCTTGGAGCTGGCTGTGGGCAGGAGGGATCTCCTGTAGAGGTCTGTATTACAGAAAATCAGAACACACCTCTGACTTTATTGTATAACAGCCTGATGAACATAACGATCAGAAGTCTTTATGAAGAATCCTTCCTTTCCAATCATATTTAAGAGCTTTTTTAAGGTGAGACTGTCCCTGAACATTAACTCTCTAGTTTATATTTTGATATTATATCCACATGTTATTTGTTTAGGGAAGCGTACTGTTTTTTTCTCCAGCTGACGAGGTTATCCCTATTTCTTCCAACCATGAAGACACTTATGGCCAAACAGTAGGCATCCGGCCATAAAATTAGTATGTATTAAAAATTAATTACACTTTAATGAAACTCCTAGAGTAATGGCTTCTTCCTCTCTGAGCGGCCTTTCAGCCCATGTTTGTGTATTTGTTCAAATATATGAAGGTGAGACCGTCTTGCACACATCTTTTCTTATAAATTAGACCCAAGGATGAACCAGATTGATCTTTTTGATATTATTTTACTATGATCCCTAAAAGCTTCAAAAGTTTTCCTCAGTTTAATTCACAGTTTTAGCTTACAAAGCCATGACAACATGATACGGGCTTCCTAAATTTGTTTAAAGGCATGTTAATCTTTGTGTATATAAACTTTTGACTTCTGAAATGCAATGTCATGAAATTTTAGTGATATTTTTTTAAGGTTCTAATGTGAGAAACTGTCCCATGCATAGTACGAATTAGAGGGGAAAGAAAAACTTTCCAATCACTGCAGAAAAGATTTTGTAAGAAAGCAGGCCTGCTTGGAGCCCGGTTGAGTGAAGGTAATGAGGTGATAGAGAAGTGACACAGCAAAGATCAGCGGGGGAGGTCAACACTAAAGTTTAAAACAACAACCGCAGCAGCGGAGGAGACGGCGTGCGGCTCCGTCACACTTCGCCTGCTCCTTTAGAGATTATTTTTCTCCATACTTGACTCTGCCTCCCTTTAACAGCTGCTCCGGCTGCCTCTAATGACTTTAATGATGGATTAATGTCCCGACTTTAAAACAGATATAAATGACAGTCTTTATATATCTTTATGTAAAGAGTGAAACCAATTATAGACCTTCAGTTTAAAGTGGACTAAAGTATTAAAGCTGGCAGTTTAACAGCTTTAGTGAAGCCACATGGGAAAAGAAACCTGAAACTCTGATACCACACACTAACAAAAAGGAGAACAGCCATTTTTATTTTGAAGATTTAATGATCTATAAACCATCAGACAGTTACAACCGAGGAGATTCTGACTGCTACTCAGAACAGATGAAGGCAGCAGATGACTTGAGCAGATTTCACTGTTTTACCACTTTTGGACACAATTGTGCAAGAATCAGTTTTACCTTAACCAAAGAGGGAAATCTTTACTTTTCTAACATTTCATCATCTTAAAAGCAGAAACTTGACTGTATTTCATGCATTTATATATAAAAAAAACAAACAACCAACACATATAAGGGTGTAATGTTGATTTTTATAAAGAAATGTCTAAAAGGGGGGGCATGCGTATGAATTAAGCTTTCCTGAGTCGCTGCTACCAGTGCTGCAGTTAGAGCTGAAGGTCTTTAAGACTGAGACTAAAATATTGGACCATTCTTCTTTGCAAAACAGCTAAAGCTCAGTCAGAGTGGAAGGAAGGAGTTTGTGAAGATCCACTTTAAGATCTGTATCTTTGAGGGGAGTGTTGGCCTAGTGGTTAGGGCAGGGCGCTTGTGCTCTGAGAAGGTTGCAAGTACCCGGTTTGATCACAACACTATGGGTCCCTGAGCACCCTTAACCCCACGCTGCTCCCCGGGTGCCGCACAATGGCAGCCCACTGCTCCCTAAGGAGATGGGTTAAATGCAGAGGTAAATTTCTCCAAAGTGAGATAAATTAAGTCCAGTAATTAATATGTACACAGAATCTCACTTGGATCTGATCTTGACTTTTAACAGTCCACTCTCACAGTATAAAGTTTCTATTGCAGCCGTACTGTGTGGCATCTCAAGCTTTTAGCAGCCTCCAACAGCTTTGCATTATCCATCTTCCCATCCTCCACAGCATGATGCTGCCACCACCCTACTCCACTGCTAGTCACATGTTTTCTCATGACTTCCTTTCAATGAAAGAACTAACTGTTGTCCTGTCAAAAGGGTTCTCCCACCTGAGCAGCCGATCTCTGGGCAGCCATGTTTTTATAGTTCTACTGTTCTCTTTCTATTTTCTCATGGGTGGATTGAGCTGTGCTCCAGGCCAAAGCTGGGTTTGCCGCTCTCTGACCTAACTCTCCAACCTTCTCCCTGACCCGTGTGCTGCGGTTCTTATGGCCTCATTGATGCTGTTTGTCTGTTAATGTTCTCCAACATGCCTAAGAGGAGTTCCCAACTGCAACCTTCCTCAGATTAAATTACACACATGGCCACACTGTTAACTACTTAGCTGACAGCTAAAGGCAATTGGTTGCACTGGATTTTATTTAAGGGGATGACTGTAAAGGGAGATGAATACAAATGTATGCTGCAGCTTTTATTTATTGCTATTTATTTTTTTCCCTTCACTCCATAAACATACTACTTGGCGTTGGCCCCTCACATTCAACCTCAGTAGAAAAGCAGGAAATTTATGGTTGTAAAATGAAGTAAAATCTAAGCTGTAACCAAGCAGCTGGAGGAAGTCTTCTTTAAAAACTGTATCTGTTATTGGATTGTCTACTGAAATAATTTACCCTTTCAAATAGTTTAAAGTGTTTAGTATTTTCCCCTCCAGCAAGTGCAGATCTGCCCGTTCTATTTAGTCTAGATGTGACTGACCATAATCTGCGCTGCGCTCAGATTACACACAGAGGAGGCTGTCACATGCTGTGGTCCGGCCACACATGCCACTAGAAAAGACGAGCAAGAACAGACCAAGGGCGGCACCAGATCGCCGAGTGGAAGCTCGTCTTACCTACAGCACACTCTTTGAACTGCAGCACAGCTGCTGGATTTGCCACTCGGGTCTGAATGAAGGGACTCGACAGGCGGCTCGTTTTCACGACCTGAACAGACTGTACCAGTCTGTGATCGGCTTTCTCTCTGCCTCAGGCCAAACGTGCAACCCAAACACCGGTGAAAGGAGGGTAGTCACCTCCATTCAATGTATGCCCCCCCACCCCAGCAAGAACCCAAAGCAGAAACCCGCCTGGAAGCAGATTGCAGTAGAAATAGTCTGCAGCTGAGCAGCCCACACAATGCACAATGCAGGGCTGCTGTGAGCGGCGCCAAGCAAAACACAGATCTCCAGCTGCCGGCTGTTCTATACGGCAGAGCCTCGAACTTTACATCCTGTGTTTGCACAGGATTTGATGGAAGTGCATCAAGCTACTTAGGAGCAGTAATGAAATGTGACGCCTTCTTCTTCAGCCTGTATCAAACGACAACAGAGTTTCCTCCAAGTCTGGAATTTGATCTCATTGTGTTCCAGATCCGGAAAAATGTGGAAAACAAAAATAAGGATTTTGGGGGGGAGTTAGCTTATATTTCAAGCCTTTATTCTTTCCTTCATTCAGTCCTTCCTCCCTCTCTCATATCCTTTGCTCTTTCCTTTTACATTTACTAATTCTCCCCTTGTGTTTTTGTCTCCTAAGTATTATTTTGTTCTACTTCCATGCTTCTCTTATTTCCTGTCCTTCTCTGCATCTTTCCACCTTTTATTTCTTCCCCATCTGTCTGTAAAATGTTCCTTATATCCTTCCTTTCCTGATTTTTTTGCTCCAATAGTTTTCTTTCTTCCATCCTTATAGTTTTTTTTTTTTTTTTTTATCTAAAAAAGACAGAATTGATTGCAAAGGGAAACTAATCTTGTTGTGGATACTCAAAAATCTTTGACTGAAGACGCTCTGTTGTAGTTCAACAGTATTTAGAATTGGATCATCAGGGTCATTCTATATGTTCATTTAATAAATATCTATTTTTTTCTTTCTTTTTTAGAGTTGTTTCAAAGTTGCTTTATGAAATGATTTCTCCGGAAAGTAAGATGTTAGCTGCATGATTTTTTAAAACAGTGTTTCACTTCAGATACTGTATAAGTGTGATTTAGTTAATAAGCATAAACAGTTTATTAAAAAAGAAGCATAAGTTAGCTACAAGCTTAGAGGTAAGCTTGTTTAAAAAAGCTAAACACATTGTTCTAAAAAATGTCTCAATTTAACATTTAAAGTCAACATAAAGGTCTGAAATTCTGCTACTATCTGGAAGTTTTATATTAAAAAAACACGAATGAACCATCATTTAAAGATCGCCAGATTCCGCAGATCATTTATCCATCTAAAGACTCTCCTGTGGATTTTGTTATCTAATAAAAGGTGAAAATGTGATTTCTCTGCATCCTCTTTCCTTTCAGCTTTGTAAACAGACAGGCTGTCTGAGCATTCACCCGTGTTTAGAAGTTGGAGGTCATCTAACACTTATGCAACAGCTTTCTGCTGCTCTAACAAACCCCTAAAAATAGAGCCGGGGGATTGTTCTTCTGGAACATGAAAACAACACCAAAACAGGCCAGGAAAATACTAAAACACGTGCTAGAAAACAAGATCAGCTCCTCTAGAAGACCTGGACTCATCTGAACCTCCAGAAGACTAAAGTTTTCCAGTGGCGTTCCAGCAGACAGCTACTCTGTCTTCTGTAGCGAACAGTTTAGCAGTCGCTCCTACCTGCACAGACATGTTGTGAAAGGAAACCAGGACTGACCTGCATTAGGTTTTTCCCTCAGAATCAGCCAGGCAGCGTGTGACACACAGGTCACAGCAGAACGCCTCATTAAAAGACTTTAAAATACGAGAAAAAACGTTTGCAGTTGAACTTAATTAAATACAGTCATAGATTTCGGGTGACTGTGCTTCAACATGTACAAAGTAGACCCTATATTAATTAAAAGCTTCAGCTGCCCTGAGGGGAAACATGTAAAAACCATATGTTGCTTCTTTTTGAAAATGAAAAATGAAGCAGAAGAGGTTTTCATTGAGTAGAACTTGTTTGTTGACAGAAACAGCAATATGTTGATGGTAAATTTGGATCTCACTGATAACTAGTTCAGGTTTAGCCTTTGTTCCCTTCTCTGGTCTCCTTAGATGGTAGAAATGCATTGCGGGAAATCTTTTGCAAAGGCCCTAGATTTGACCCGAAAAATTAAACAAGCATTGGTTAGCAGTATCAAAATAACTGAAATATCTGGAACCAACAAACTGCTATGCATCTAGTAGAATGTAGGATTAGTTTCAGTGTGAATAAATATTTCCTGTATTCAATTCAGTTCAGTTTATTTCTATTGCACCAATTAACAGCACATGTCATCTCAAGGCTCTTTACAGTCACCAGATCATCCAGTTACATTGATTCAAAGTTTCTGTCTAAAGAAAACCAGCTGATTGCATCGGCTCATTGACTGGATTCAATCCCTCACACTAAGCATGCTTGTAGCGACAGTGTAGAGGAAAAACTCCCTTTTAACAGGAAGAAACATCCAGCAGAACCAGGCTCAGTGTGAGCGGCCATCTGCCGAGGCCGACTGGGGTTCAAGGAGACAACTATAAATTGACATTTAAAGATATATATATATGCTACAGACCAAAAGTTTGGACACACCTTCCCATTCAAAGAGTTCTTTATTTTCATAGAAGCTAACAAATGTCAGAACTTCTTTATTTTCACTACCTCTTGAACAGAATGCCAAGAATGTGTGAAGCAGTAATCAAAGCAAAAGGTGGCTACTTTGAAGAACTGGAATATAAGACATATTTTAAGTTGTTTCACACCTATTGTGTCAAGTATATAATTCCACATGTGTTAATTCATAGTTTTGATGCCTTCAGTGTGAATCTTCAGTTTTTCGAGTCATGAAAATAAAGAAAACTCTTTAAATGAGGTGTGTCCAAACTTTTGGTCTGTACTATATATATATATATATATATATATATATATATATATATATATATATATATATATATATATAATTTATCCTAACTCTTCAAATACATTGAAGGAGAAGAAATGCTGTTCTAGTGGAAAAGTCCAAATGTTATGGAGATGTTTGAATCCTTCTCCTCAAACAGGATGGGGAGGTCCAGACCTGATTAACAAGCAATTAGCTGCTTCAAACAGGTTTAAACAAAAATCTCCTGGGGGATTTTTGTAAAGAGGAGAAGAGCCAATCACTAAGCAGTCATTTTTTTCACATTTTGTTTTGGAGGCTCCTGTCATCCTGCTGAAACATCTCACCTATAAGGGGCCCCTTGGAGTCCCCGGACCCCCTGTGCCAACAGTATCAACTGGCTGACCTTAGCTGGAGCCCAGCTGATGCTTCTGCAGCCTCCTAATAGGGACCAATCTCCACCAAAGGAGAAAGATCAGAGGTTTGCAGCTGAGGCAGAGGAGAGAGAGAGAGCTTCCAGATGTGAGAGAAGGAGCTGATCTGAAATCTGTTTCTGCTCAAACCTCAAATCTTCCCACTTTGTCTCCTTTTTAATCATAAAGTAATTCATTGTGACTTTGAATCTGCTGCCTTTAAATATTCATATGAATGTAAATCAGTTCAGATGAGTGTTTCTTACCAGTTTTCCTTCTCTGTTCTCCTTTCTGTAACATCCAGGAATGCTGTCAACAGGCGTCGCGCAGCCGCCGGAGCGCGTCTCGGTGGGAGCCGGAGACAGAGAGCAGAAGGGCGGACTGGGACTGGGGGGCAGGCCCGAATCCGGACTGTCGAGGAGCCCTTCCCGGTTCTTTCCTTTAAGGCTGTCATCCATCGCTTGTAAATGTAGGTGCCCCACCATTTCTGGGACAGCTCAGCAGCAAAAACCTCCCAGATAAAGTCAACCTGGCGAGTTTTGGTTTCTGTTTTTTTTCCTGCTTTTTTAAATAAAGAAAGCAGCCCAAGCTGCCGCGCTAAGAGGAAATAATCACTTTCACCCGAACAAGGTTCCTAAATAAAGAAAGAAGAGATTTAAAAGTCAGGTGTGATACAAAAGTTTCCTAAATTACAGGTTAATTATAAAGTTCCTACCTGCGCGTAAGGAGTGGATCACTTCAATCCAAAGGTATCCTTTAACTAATAAACCATTGTTTGCAATTTGAATTAAAGGTTTTGCTTTTCTTAAAAAAATAAAAATAAAAAAGCGAAGAAAGTTTCTCTAATAAAAATAACCAAAACGCGCTGTGCGTCTGGCACCGATCTGGATGAGCTGCGTTCCTTCGCTGCGCTCTGCTTCAGTGTTTCTGCGGACTGGAAGCTCTCAGGAGGAGATCTCCCTCTTCATCATCCTGCCAGCTTTTTTTTTTCCCCCCTTTCTCGTACCTGGACCAAGTCCAGCCCCCTCATGATCTGGATCAGTTCCACGCACGACCGGCAGGGGTGAGCACGCCTCATGTCTGCAGACTAACTGGGGACAAACCAACCTTCCTTCTAAAGCTGCTCATTCTGCTCATTATAAAAGCAGGTGTCTGGTGATTAGTGACCCACCTTTATGAGCAACAGGGTGTGACTCTGCAAAAAGTATTCAACAATATTACTAATATAGTTGCTGAGTAAGAAGGGATCCCTGCAGAAGGTTTTTATAGAGAGGGTTTCATTTAAAATTTTCTAAAGTAAAAGCAAAGACCACACTGCCAAACATCTCCTGATGATGATACTATTTTAGAGGTTAAGAAAAAAAAAATCCTTACATAGTCATGCAAAAGAATCTCTCCTGTTAACCCTTTATAGGGCACTCCAGTAAAATACTTTGAAAATCATAATTTCAAGCCAATAGTGTTATCAGAATCCAGTACAAGACCTTATTACCTTTGTAACATTAAAAATAGGGATATTTTGATGGAAAAAATGAATTTCAATAACTAGAAACACCAACCTGCCCAAATATATTAAGAAAAATAATAAAAAGTGCTTCTATAAGAAATTGATGAAAAACATTCTGAGAGTGAAAGAAACACCTTTTTTTTTCTTGTACAACATAACCTTAGAGGCATTAATGCTGTAGCTGGACCTTAGATTTTTAGTTTATAAACCTAAATATCATTGTTAACTAGACTTGTTAACTTTTTAACTTTTCAATTAGCTTTTTACCTTTTTTCTTGACTTGTTAACTTTTTTTTTAAACTTAATTTACAGTAAGTAATATACAGAGGTGTCAAGTAATGAAGTACAAATACTTCGTTACTGTACTTAAGTACACTTTTTAGGTATCTATACTTTACTCCATTACTTATTTTTCTTCCTACTTCTGACTTCTACTCATTACATTTTCACACAAGTATCTGTATTTTCTATTCCTTACATTTTTAAAACAAACGTTACTCATTACTCTTGGTTTAATGTTTATTAATATTTATTTCCTGTCATGTGCTCCATCCAATGCAGATCATTGGCTCCATCCACATCTAGTGAAAACTAGTGTGATTGGATGAGTCATATAACACTCATTGGTTAATGTGAATTGTCTATGCCATGCTGCAATGCAGGATTCAGAAAAAGATGTTGAAATGTCTGAAAGGTCGGACACAGGCAAGAGCATATCTGGAAACGGAGACCAACAAGACCTCCCTCATCCTTGGCCCTATCTCAAAGAATTATTGGAAATAGTCGAAAAATTGAGCTTTCAATTCATATACTGGCATCTGGCAGTTTTTTTTTATAAAGGCTACTTTATACTTTTATACTTTAAGTAGTTTTTGGAGCACATACTTTTTTCCACTTTTACTTGATTAAAGAGGTCAAGTTGAAACTTCAACTTTTACCAGAGTGTTTTTAAACTGCAGTTAAGTTACAAATGTTTGTACTTTTGACACCACTGGTAATATATCATTCAAGGGCTCATATAACTGGTCAAATGCTCCATTTGTAAGGGGTATGCAAGGAATCAAAAAGGGTAGAATATAAGAGTCATTACACTGCACCTCATTTCTACACTGGAAAAAAATTGAATTCTAGATCAGTAATTTTTCTCTTAAAATAAATGCATTTGTTCTTGTATTGAGAAGCTAAAAGAGACATATTGCCAATGGAACAAGACAATTTACATTTAAAACAAGAAAACGCAATCGCATTGTCTTATTTCCAGCGTATTTTACCTAATTATCTTATTTTAAGAGTGAAGAATACTCATTCCATTGGCAAACTATCTCATTTACATACTCAAATTAAGGATAAATACACTTACTTTAAGAATTTTTTTACTCATTTTAAGATAATTTTTCCAGTGTATTAATGTCTGTCCCACAAATAATCCAACCGGCTCAGTTTGAAGCATTTAAAATAAGAAAAAGCAAAGATAACAAAGGACATAATAAAGTTTAGACATTTATTTAAGCAGATGTTGATCTGTCTCCAAAAAAAATATGTTGTTGTCTCAGATTAGGTTTGGAGAACGATGACGATCAGAGAAGATTTTCTCCAGGGCTGAAACAAACAAACCCGGAGGACAGAACAACATGACGCAAATGAATGGAAACTATGGCACTGAATATGTGGCTTAAATTTACAGTCAGGCAGCTGGTTATGAATCCATGCAGGAGAGGAGATGATCAACAGGCAGCTTCAGGCGCACATACTGCTCTGAATCCATCACTGGGAAAACAAAGGTAAACAACAACACACAGCACAAAACATGACACTTTGAGAGGTTTGTGAATAATAAGCTACTGCCTTTGCTTTGTTATGGAGATCTGCAGATAAATAGATCAAGACAGACTGTTAAAAAAAATGCCTCTGCAAATCTGCTGCAAAAGACTAAACAAAAGATCGAAGATACAACACCATCAGGGACAAACAGGGACATCTTTCTGAAGATGAGATGCTACAACCTGATTTAAAACATTTATAAATTACTGCATGTTGTCACAACAGTTTCTAATTTCACTTGCGCAGCTTCTCCTGTTAATACAGTAAAGCCATGCCAATTAGCCAATGAGCTGCTGTCAGTCTGGGTTGCTGATGAGACGCAGCAGGCAAACCTGTGGCAAGACGGGCGATGGGAAAGAAGGAGAAGACGATGAGAAAAAGAGAGCAGAGAAAGTGTGGACTGCTGGAAGAACTGCGGTGAACTGGTGAAAGAAAAGTGAAATGGTGTGCTCAAAGATGACCCTGCACATTTGGAGGATGTTTGGCTCAACCTGCTGCTGTGAAGCAGGATTCTCCACCATGAACAGAATCAAAAAAAAATTTGGATCCAGGCTCAAAATGAGCACCTTGATATGTGCTTGAGAATGGCTTAGTCTCCATTGAAACCCAGGTTTAAAGCCTTGCAGGGCAGCCTAAAGCCCACTGTGAACATTTAGACAGAAAAAAGAAAGAAAAAAAAAACATCCAGTTCAGGTGTTTTATAAAATATGTGAATCAGGAAGTTGTCTATATACCAAACTAAATGATTGTTGTTCTCTACGTCAAAAAACCCTTTAGATTTAAAAATGGAAAAATGTTAAATTTTTTTATGTAAAAAGTCAATGTATAACATAGATGCATAAGCACCTCATTTTATTTCAGTGGTAAATTCTGTTTAAAGTAACAGATTATAATTAAAAATGTCTCCGGACCTTTACTGGTTGATGACCTTAATCGGACCCTGCTGATTTTTAATCGGTTACCCCTCCGTAGTGCATCGTCTTCGTAGCTTACCCACACTATAGAGTGGACAACCTCTAAGTCACCACCATTGTATTATGTAAGAAATAACCTTATAGAAATGTTAAGGTGATATTCTGAATTCACCATGAAAGTAATTTAGATTTTTTATTAGCTGTAAGCCGCAAAATTAAAATGAATATAAATAAGTGCTTGAAATGCTCGTGAAGACCTGTCATCCAGGTCATAGTCATACCAGGCTTCTCTATAAAGCTTAGAAACTTAATACTAATCCAGACATTTTGAGTTTAAAAAGCTTCCTGGATGGGAAACGAAACATCTTCAAACTTGGAAAACAAAGTCGAGTGGATTGTTTTTTTTAACTTTTCTAACTTTTTTTTTAAATGCTTGATGTGTATCCCTGTGTTTAATGCATGTATTTTAATTCCTAAAGAAGTGCCCAAAAAATACTGCATCATCTGCATATTGGTTGATATTATTACTCAGGGTTACCGCTTGTCCTTAAAAAGTCTTAAAAGGCATTGAATTCTTCAAAATAAAACTAAGGCCTTAATTGGTATTAAAATGTCTTAAATCCGTCTTTCATAGGTCTTAATTTTTAAAACATCATAAATAGGAATATTTTTATAATGATTTATTTTTGTAATCTAAATAAAACGTTAAAATTGACCTTTTTTTTTTTTATTAAAAAAAAAAACTGCTCGCCATTATTGGTTCCGTCCCGATAGCGGAACCAATAAAAGCGTTGTTGCGGCCGGGACATTTGGAAGATGCGCCATTAACTTTTTGTCTGGAAAATATGAGCAAGTGTAAATGCAACGATAATTGTCTCCAGCCAATAGTTTTCTCCATGGCTAAAACCAGGGAACATACATGAGGCTCAGTGGATTTTGTGCAAGAAGTCATTCAAGCTCAGAACGATGGGAATTAAGGCAGTGGAGTCGCACATGCGAAACACGAAACACAAAGCGTCAAAATGGAGTTACAGAGAAACAGCCGGTATTTCTCAGTTTAGTTCCACCCTTGTCTCTGCAACGCCTCCACTTATCACCAAATCAAACATACTAAGAAAACGATACAAAGAAAAATAGCTGCAAAAAAGACTTAGCACTGGTTATGTTGTGGCTTTAAAACTGATTTGTTTTGTTCCCTGCTAAAACAAAGTTTGTGAATTCAGTTAAATAATTGTTCAAATATATCTGTCATTAGTGTGTTTTTAGCTTTCTTCCTGTATGGGAAGCTTTTCAAAATTTGAAACATTAGTGCAGTGGTTTATGTTAAAAGTTGTCGCAAGCAGGTTTTTCTTGTGTTTCTTGTGAATTTGGTCTTAAATTTTTAATTCAAGTGGCATTAAAAAGTCTTAAAAAGTCTTGAATTTAACTTGCCTTATGCTGTAGGAACCCTGATTACTTTAACAAATAAACCATATATATATTCAAGGCTGGAGAAAAACATAGACACATTCAGGCCGTCTGATACGGGGAACATTCTTGTTTATTAAAATCCAGTCAAAAATGCAGAACCATTCAAAAAGACCATAAAAAAACATAAGTGATGGTTATTCCAGAAGATTTCTTTTATCTGCTTGGGATTAAGTCAATAAGGAGGCGGTTGAGAGGTTTCTTTGTGCACGTGTCTGACTGTGCAGACTGGTGTATTTCAGGACTGGG